ACACAGCAAAGTGACACTCAATATCATAGAAAGGAACCTTTAATCAACCAGAATTAGATGTCCTGGGTTTTACCCTCAAATGTCACGCGTTCTTTAAAAGCACAACATGTGGAGGTGTGTGGCGTAGTGGGTTGTCCGTAGGTGTTCGGATCAGGGGGTCAAACCCCACTGCAGTCAGCATGTCGTTGTGTCCCTGAGACACTTCACCCCAAATTGCTCCTGTGGGGATTGTCCACAGGAGCAGGGTATGTAAGCCGCTTTGGATAAAAGCGTCTAACAAGTGACATGTAATAATGTGAAAGCATGGAGATCTGGACCTTTAAGATCTTTACTGCTAGTTGCTTGAACATTATCTGTACCTCTGTATCCACTTACAGTTTCATGAACGATTTGTTGCTCACTGACTGACAAACTGGCACTTAGTTTGTGACTGATGGCAAGGTATGAACATTTCAAAACTAAGGAAATGATCTAGTTAGGGACCCAGCTAAGAAAAAGGGCCAAACAGATCAATGTTACCCTGATTACTTGGAATGTTGGAATGGAAAGGATAAAGATGCAATTTGCTTCCCTGGCAAAACTCCCAAGTACATGAGAGCAATAACATCACATGGATTGGACCACTCATTATTTATTTTATAGACAGGCAGATTTTTGGACCCTTTTCAAAGACACTACAAATGTCCTAGTTCCTGCAGCCTCAATGTCTGGAACAACCTGCTGGATTCTACATCTGGCCCAGAAGACCATCTCCTGTCTCTATCTGAAGTCACTGTGAAGAGGAAGTAAAGACACTGGATCCATCCAACAGGTGCTGGGGTACAGCATTGCACTCTGGGTCAGATCAGGAGTCCGGACCCCTCCCAGTTCCCCTGCAACCCCTCCTCCCAGCCGTTTCTTGCTTTTGGACCGTTGTCTTTTCCATATGGTTCCAATCAACTGGGCCTCAGGAGTCAAGACTTTCCCTCCTAAATTCTTGTCTTTATTGGTTAGCATGCCCACCGTACGCCCCCCCAAAAAGACACATCTTCTACCTTCAATGGCCTCTAGACAACGGTGTCTAAAATCCCTTTTCTGGTCTTCATCCAATTTTAAGTCAGTGATGAGATTGCAATCTAGCCATATGCATTTAATAAAAGAAGATCTGTGGATTTTCCAAAGAAAACTTCATGAATATTTCATCATAACTGCTAACCCCAAAAATATTTGGTATTCCCAAAGTATTTTAAAAAAAAATGCAAATCTTTATGGGACTTGGACTAATGGGAACCCAGGCATAACGCCAACAAGTAATGATGCAAGGTTATCATCCTGAGGAGATCTAAGAGGTTTGGAGGATGTGTTTGTCTTGGACTCACAGACACACTATAAAGCTACTGAGTCAGGTCCTTAGAAGTGAAGAATGTGTGGCTCCTGTGGATCTGGAAACTGCTGTTGGTTTTACTCTCCTGTCAAGTAACCCCTAAACCAAGCAGGTCACAAATCCAAATTGCTTCTTTGGAAGTGTACATGTTTAGAATTAGCATCATTCTTTTCTTATTTTAAGTTTATTTATTGCAAATTCTGTTAATCACAATTTTACAACATTATTTTATTTTTAATAATACACAGTGTGACGGCCCCAGAGCCTGGGGCCTGTGAGTGTGTGTGAATGTTGCAGGTCCTGCGATGGGGTGGAGCTGAAGAAGCCAATCAGCGTGATCGGGGACACCTGGCCGGAGGTGCTACTTAAGCCCAGCTGCCCGCAGTCACAGGGCGGCCCTGACTCTCTCCAAGCCTGCTGCGGAGGAACTGACCGTGATCCTTTCCCCTCGTCCCCTCTCTGCGGTTTTTTAGTGTTTCCGAATAAAGTGCGGAGATTGTTGGAAACTTTGAGCATCTCTCCTGGTTTTTCTGTTGTGGCCAACGAGCCGGTCATAACAACAGTCAGAAATAAATACAGGTGCTTAGAGGAAGTAAACCATAATAATTATAACAGTATATAGTACTGTGTTGTAGTATAATTGGTATTACATTTGAAATATGTTATAGAAATACATAAGAAAGCATGTGAATCAATCCAATAGAGAGACAGTGGAGGGAGAGTAGTGTGGAATCAGATGGATTCAAGACTCAATTCAACAAATGCTTCACATTTTTTGTTAAAAATGCTCAGAACAAGATGAGAATAAATAAATAAAAAAGAAGATTCAACTCAACCAAATATAATGAATAGCATTAAGACTGAAACAGCTAGCATGACTCTTTTATAAAGTTTAGAATCTATCGCGTTGTGTCTTGTTTGTTTAACTCTTACAGATATAAAAACCATGTCACATCTGCCTCTAGTCGTTATGCTTACAGATGCTACCCAACTTTTAAATGCATAGACAAATTAACACTTTGTTTGTTTCAAATCCAACTAAAGTGTTTGGAGTTGGCATGTGATCCGACTGGAAAAAGTGACTTGCGTTGATTAAATTAAATAATATTAAGAAGCAGCACTCTTTCCAATCTTAAAGGTGGGGTAGGTAAGTTTGAGAAACCAGCTTGAGTGCGCTAGAATTTGAAAATACACAACCGGATAAAATCTGCCACTTCCTTACAGAGCCCCTCCTCCAACACACACGAACGCGCACATGACCAATGAGGGCACGAGATGAGTTTGTGCCCCGATGGGAGGCTGACAGGCAGGTAGGCCATCCAGTTACTTTAGCCGGCTCAGATGATTGGTTGTACTTTTTACACTACCACGGCTTCCACAGATGACGTTTTTTTATGATTTTTTTATCAAAGCACTTAAGATATTCATTGCTATCGGGATGTTAAGAGCATTCCATGGAGTATAACAAAAAGTGTATCTCGAGCCGGTTTCTCAAACTTACCTACCCCACCTTTAATGAAGAGAGAATAGTGTGACGTTAGCTAAATGTGCCTTTTATTTGTCCACATTATAGAGTTGAGGAAAGTAAAACAATGTTATAAGTGATGTGCCAATAAAACACCCAATTAGCACCCTATGAATGTTGCAAACCTGAAAGAAGGATCCTCCCTGTCTTATCCTTATGCCCCCTTCTCTCTCTAAATCAATTACTGGTAACCATGGAGGCCTGGTGAAACCAGTCTGACAACAGGCCTGTTTCCTGAGAACACAAAGGGCCTTTCATTAGCCAATGCCCCAGTCAGGACTGAAGCCATCCATATGGGAGCCTATTCTGTGGGTTCTGATGTGAGAGGAGAGAACCGTACTGAGGAGATGTATGACATCACCTCATAATTGTTGTGTGTATGTGTGTGTGTGTGTTTGTGTGTGTGTGTGTTGGGCCTTGCCTCCCTGATAGAGACAGAGCTGCTCCCTGGTTCATGGCTAATGTTAGCGATATGTGTTTTGGTTACGTGATGGTTAGTCTCTATGAATAAACATACATAACTATAACTACAGTACATGAAGTGATAGAAGTGTTTGTGTGTGTCGTGAGTCAAAGATAAAAGAGGAATAAGAAAGTTGTTTTTTTATACCCTTGCCTGATGTGACATCCTAAATGATAACTTGGTTTTCGTGATATTGAAATGGGAGCCTATAAACATTAACAGGGACCTATCATGCAAAATGCACTTTTTGATGTGTTTTATACCTAAATATGTGTCCCCGGTGTGTCAGGGAACTCAAAAAGTGTCAAAAAAACCCCTCTCTCTTTTCCTCCGTTCCCAGATCTCTCAAAACGGGGGTACAATGGAGCTGATCCAGATTTGCGTCCGATATGACGGAATATCTGAAATGTGGACCCACAGCATTAAAAACGTTGCTATCAGAAACAATGCCCGACTGTATATTGGACGTAATATGGTCTTTGTTTACATAAGCAAGCATCGATAACACTCAGAGCTAACCTGTACTGGAGAGAGTATGTGTAAAGAAGCAGGAAATAACAAAAGGAACTCACCTTGTGGTAAACCCGCGAGAGAAAAAGCATTTGAGCTCCATACTGTTTCAAAAATAATCCTTGAAGTGGTTTGGAACATGATATGGCAGCATTTAGAGTTGGTAGAATTCTGAGCAGGCACAAGCTCCCCCTCCTGACCCAGAATCAGCAGTTCTCTAACAGGGCTGAAATAGAGGGATATGAGGGATGTATAAAATGCATGATCTGTTTGGTATTTTGAGCAAAACACATCATAGACATGTTTTTATATATTTTTTATATATCTGAGACCCATAATATATGCCTAAAAATAGCATAATAGGAGACCTTTAGAATTGAATTAAAATGAAGCTTGAAGAACCAAATCGAGACACACATTTTATTTATAAGTGTTTCAAAGGCCAGAGTTGATGCAGATTTGTTTAAGATTAGGTTACATACAAGCAGTATTTGACATTATATATTTCAATACCTTAAATATTTATCTTCCAAATATCCAGTATTTCCCCCACAATCCTCTTCTTTTCCACTAATTAGATTACTGATTTAGATCATGCTATCTTTAGCCCTCAATCTTCCCCCTGATCCTCAGAATAGTCCTTAGTTGAAAATGCTCTTCCAAAATTAGAGGTATGTTCTGCAGTCAGGATATTACTCATTGTGCTCTTCAGAAGGTAAACCGTATTAAGAATAAATAGTGGCGTCTATTAGCGTCACTCTTCTTGTGTCAACACAGATGTTATTCTATTAAGTATTGCATCAAACGCCTTTACAGTTTTTGGTTTCGTCATCAGCAATATGTATAATGTTCTAGAAGGAGTGGGGGGGGGGCAATGAGCTTTGACCCCCTGTGGCCCCCCTCCAAAAGAAGGGTTTATAATGATAATACAATTTAGGGTAGTGTTGTGTTGTAACTAGCGGAAGGTATTTTGTTTTTCATAATGTCCTTTAATACAATTTTAACTACTGAAACCAATTTTGCCACGAAAACCCCAAACCATCATGGTATTTTATGTTTGAACTGCCACTCTACCCCTTGACACTGTACACTACCACAGGACATTAAATGGTCTCCTCCTGTCTCTGTGTCTCCTGCAGTATTCAAGCAGCAGGTCCACAGCCCTCTGGAGCAGCCCAAGAAACAGAAGACTGGAGGGGGGGGGCCCGTCCCCTGTCAGAACTGTGGCAAGCCCTGCAAAGGAGAGGCTCTGCGGGTCCAGAACAAACACTTCCACATCAAGTGCTTCGCCTGTAAAGGTATGTCCTCGCCAGCTGTTACCAAACAACCTTCAAGTTCCACACCCTAAGAGGATACCATAAGACAGGAATGTTGCTTGTAAAGTAGGAACATAGCTAGTTTGGACCTTTTGTTGCGTTCAACTGAAAACGTTCCAATATCTACCATTTCTAGATCAAATATACAAATACTTTCATAAGTAAAAATGAGCTTACTACTATGGTGAAATCATTAAAATGTGGATTTTAACCAATAACACTAACGTCGTTTATCTTTTTGACTAAGTATTCTGAAAATTAAGAGTTGTGGCAGAAAACAATTCATTTTAACTTTTTAATAAGATAAAATATACATTAGCCTCATCCCAATACCCCTCCTCGACTCCTCCTTTCCCTCACTCGCCTCCCTTCCTTGCGTCTTAGCTCTGCCTCCGTAAGATGCGAGCGAGAGACACGAGGAGGTGACGCGAGGACAGAGGAGTCCTCAGGTATTAATTGGGATGTCCTCGTTCACTCAAACGTCACTCTTAAACGACGTCTGTTAATGATGACATGTGCACAGCTGTATCCCCTCTCATCGGGCTGAACTGAAGAACCCCTTAGAACCGGCCCATTTGTTGTTAAATATTTATTTAAATGAATCTTTCTCTTGTTAGTCAAGGAATTCAATGTATGATGGTTGGTCCTGCTTTTGTGTTCCATTTTGGTGTAAAATGTACATTTCAGTAAAATTATAATAATGGGAAAGCCTTTACTCTGAAAATGTGTGTCCTGTAGATCCCCACATTCAGGACTGTGCATTTTAAATAATTTAACTCGTGAATATCTTAACACAAAACAATACAAATAATTGTTATTTATCAATATCTAGCCATTTATGAAATAACTTTCTTAATAGCTATGTTTCAGTGATGGTAAAGATCATTAAACATGACTTAAATTGTTAGTATAACCTTAAGAAATGAATTGCACATAATAATTCCCACAGAGCTGTGTGCACTTATACATTTATGTGACACTTTTCCACTCATCTTCCAGTTGTCGGTTTTCCTCTGTTGAAATGAACCAGCTGTGAAGGTGGGGGCGGGGCTTTTATAAGCGAGTAGTGAAAACACTTCCGCGTAGTCTGCTCTCGTGTATCCTCCCTTTCGTCTCCTCCTTCACCCCTCCTCGACTCCTCCGTGTGCATTTCAGCTATTGGGACGTCCTTCAAAATGGCGTGTCTTGATCGATTTCCGGGTCAAGTCCCGGAGGAGGGGAAGAGAGGAGTCGGGGAGGGGTATTGGGATGAGGCTCCTAATGAAGATCAATTACTGTTAAGGAACTGATTTTTACATGGAGCTCTTGAAGCAGACACAATAATTAAGAGCTTTTTCTAAAAGATAATACATTATGACCCTTTGGGTGGGGAATAATATAAACTTATGTCTATTTGTCAAGATTCTTTTGGGAGCTTTTTATGAAAATAAATCATAAAAACGTACTTAAACCAAACAACTACGGGTGAGCACAAAGACGCTGTGTTGAAAAGACATTAATATGATTCCGTAGAGGTCAATAAAAAGAGCAATAATCTGAAAGAACCAAAAAGATAAAATAATCCTTACACACTGTTTTTTTTAAAACTTGTAGTACTGATACCGTCCACTAGACCAGTGGTTCTCAAATGGGGGTACACGGACCCCTAGGGGTACGTTGGAGTACTGCAGGGGGTACGTGAGATTGATTTGATGTTAATGAAAAAAACATTTAAACAAACTACTAATAGTAGATGAACTACTTTATTCAAAGGTTTACAGAAACTCTGGATAATAAAATGGGAAAAATAAATGGGGTGCTCTCTTTTCCTCTCCCTCTCCTGACAGCCTGTCAGTCTCGTGCAGCTCGCTGAACCTGTAATGAGTGACCCGACAGTAAAGAATACATATATTTATAACTAGTTTAGCTAGTTCCAGAGTAGATAAACTAGCTAAGTGTGTTAGGTCTAACTCTTAGTGTATTTTGCTCCGCTCAACGGTCCGTCACAGCTGTGATCCGGAAGAGCTGCGTGTTCTCCGTCAGCAGCAGCTGATCTGATCTCTCTCTCATCCGGTTAGACTTCACTCGCGTTTATGTCCAAATCTATCAGATCTAGCTAGTGCTAGCTAATGACATATGACTGCCTGCTTATCAAAGGACACCTAAACAATAAGCGTTGCTTGGCAACGGCGTGTGGCCACAAAGTATAGCGCAGCATTATGCATAATATGTTTATATGAGGGGTCAAAATCCCATGCTCATAAAATGCTCATATCTTTTTTTTCTTCATTCCCCACGCCCCAAAATAAATAATTATTTTATATTAACAGAGTTACACATATTTCAAAACGCGAAGTGTAATAACTGCAATTTGCCTCCCTGTCAGAATGACAAAGTGAAGCACAAGCCCATGTTTCTCACTGAATTGTAAGTACAACTTATTAAAAAGATCAGTTCAATGCAACTAATGTCATCTCAGTGTTATTGCATGATGTTAAAATTGGTTTGCCATGAATTTAGTGAGGGATTGTAAACATTTTAAATGTAGCATTTAAGTGTTTCTCAGTTACAATGTTGTTGTTTTAATAAATCAGACACTGATGGTGCAGCACTGTACTGTACCTCTTTATATAGGAATGTTTTCCTTAACAAATCATTTTTGTGCTGATCAGGGGGTACTTGGCTGCATTTTTTTTTCAAAGGGGGTACATTATTGAAAAAAGTTTGAGAACCACTGCTCTAGACTCCTAGTTACGTCGCGAGCTGCTTACATGATTTCGTTCGGCAGCCAAATACCGCGAACAAATCTGTGACGCGTTTGTGTGTATTGTGTTTCCCGGGGAAACGCTCAGAAGAAACACCGGCTGTTGTTATGCCTGCTGTGACGTTAAGTTGCCTCTTGTAATTATGCCTTTACAAACTTACAAGTTGTATTTATCATCTGAATTTGGCGAAACAAGTTTAATATTCTAAAAACCAAGACTTTGTTTATTTGAAATCAGATGAAAACAAACTGTCACGGACCCTGCCGTGTTATCTATGATTACTACGCTTTTCATTCATAATTTCAGCGGGAGGGAGGGGGGGCAGCGCTGAGGAACAGCAGAGTGCTGGCTGACAGGTGTCTGTGTTGACACTCCCCTTATTGTGGAATAAGGGGAATGCAGAGACAGGCTACAAGTGTTTTAGGTTCAAGTTAGACAACTAATGTCTGGGTTAGTGTTCATGACTTCATGTGTATGTCATCTAATGGTTAATCTCAATACACACACATTTTCCGTGCTTTCCAATAGTTTAAAATAGTTTTATTCCACTGTTTAATAACCTGTTCAATACAAACACTTGTAAAAATGAAATAACATTTCTGTGAACTGATATTTGTTTAGTGAGCTTATTAGAGGATGTTCCCTGAAAGATTGTAAAATGTCAATGAAGATGTCAGACTTAGTATATGTGTTAATAATTACATACAACACATGGAATTTGTGTGTGTTCCAAGTGAATCTGCGGCCCCCTGGTGGCCAGTACATCAATTATGTGGCCCCCACCACCATCAAAGTTGCCCATCCCTGCTTTAGATGAAAATAATGAGCCACTCCCCACGCCCCTCTGAGAGATATTTGGTGAAAAATAACACAATGGTGCTCGAGGAGGAGATTCAGGTGATAAGGGGGGGGGGGTGGGGGTTACCTTAGTTGGTGATTGGCTAATGGTTAGTTAAGCCAAAAAATCGTTATGACATCATAAAGTTGCCAAGATCTGATCAGCTCATTTTCAGACAGGTTTTTATATAAATAGATCAGGACAAAAAGAGAGAGAATATTTTCGTCACATCATTTCCGTTTTCCTTTACACAGAGGGGACACATGTTTATGTATAAAATACATGAAAACATTGATTTTGCATAATAATAATTTAAAAGTGTGACTGAATTAGTAAAAAAAAATGTTGAAGGGTAACCAATGTTACTTTTTTACCTTTCTACCGTTCACTTACCTTGCTTCCAGTGCTGGACACCAGGAAATAGGACAGAGAAGCAGGCTTCTTCCTGGCAAAATAAACAAAGTCTATCACATTCTTTCTAGCAGGTTCTCTGTATTTAGCAAACCTGCATATACCTGCTTGTTTTGGTGGAAATATTATACGTGTTCTCCATTATTATCAAATTATTTATAATCATACTGTTATTCAGACCCGGCCCGCCCATCCAGGATTTGGGTCCGCCCATCCAGGATTTGGGCCCGCTGTTTTAAGGGCTGAATACAACATTTTAATTGTTTTATTATTATGTTTATTGTTGTTATTTGTAGGGCTTTGTCCTAATATTTATTTTTGTTTTAAACTATGTTGAAAGATTAGTTTAATATCATTTTTTTATTTTGCTATGAAATTCTGAATGAAATTCTGAATGAAAGGCTGCGCGCGAGACTGGTTTTTCGCTGGGTTGAGTCGTGTGGGTTTTTGAGTGAGGTGCGGCACAGCAGCCTGTCAGTTTACTCTTGCTAGGTTAGTTTGGCTATTATCATTTATATGTATCTGCAACAATGGATATCAGGAAGTGGTTCATGAAAGGAATATGGCAACTCAGCGCCAGATGCAGGCACAAAAGAAATCAGTTACGTTACCAACGAGCTAGCAAGCCAGCCAGGGACAAGGGAGGCTGGCAATCAATTATATTTTGAAGAGAAATTGACTCTCAAGCCGGCTCTCTCACAAACTCCGGCTCTGTGCGCAAGCAGACCGCTGCACACGCTCTCTGCCTCGCTCAATATCTCTCTCTCTCTCTCCCTTTCTCTCCCTCACTCCACCTCTCCACCCTGTGTGCGCTCCTCAAGTTTGCCTGCGTGCTTGCCCAAGTTGGCACAGCGTTACAAATGTGCCACAAAACCAACCAATGGATGTAGCCTATAATAAGACCATCAACAGCCTTATGGCAACCTAAAACCCCTCTGTTTCCGTAACAACAATTCACGAGCGCCCGCCGCCGTTGACAATTCAGATAT